TTTGCTGATTTAAGATGGGCTATAGATACCGTTATATATAATTAATTATTCGTACAGCACCATAAATACGTATGGTGCTTTGTGTCGTGAGGCGGACGTACAGACGAAACTCATGCTGTCCCCAAACATGTTTTCAAAGTTTCATTTAGATGTGTGACCGGTCAAAATAGAACACACACATATCATTATTAAGCTCAGAAAATCAACCTTCTGGAGTGGATGGATATCCTGAAGGGTTGGAATTATGCTTCTGCAAGGGGCCAGTACAAGGGTTGTGCACCACTGAGATACCACTTGCATCCTCAAATTAGGGCTTATGTGGTACATAGGTCTTGTGCAGGCCCATCTGTACACTTCATCCCAAAACAGTGTTACTTCCAAGATTCTAGGTCCAAAATTGTAATGTATTTTATTTATTTATGTTTATAAACGGGCAGGGGGAGAGAAGGGAGATAGCTTCTTCATTTCTCTCCACAGATCACTGTAAATGAAATGCTAGGCAAGATCAAAAGCCAAAAGCAAAGGATTTTATGGGCCAGATCTGCAGCTGGTGTTAGTCAACATAACACTAGCTCATAATCTACTCCTAAAACCTTATTAGGAACTCCTGCTTGGAACTACTCCCTCCTTCTCCCACCACTTTCCAATAACCATAACAGAATAGTTTAACTAGTTTCACGTTCAGTCTATGAATTTGTAGTGTCCACAATAGTGACAAGCTCTCTAGAAAAGGAAAGCATGCTGCCACCTACTAAGTAGATACAGTACTCTGGATTCTACTAATTTAACAGAGGAACTCCTATAGCATTTTACAGTGCTCTTAAAAGCCTAGCTAAAATGTGGGACTCCTACTTTTGTTAGCTACAAGTTCACTATTCCAAATAAACTGAATAATAGCAGTACATTTTACAGATAACCTCATACAGTGATTTTGACAATTACAGCAGGGTCTATTGCATTCTGTTAAGAATGTATAAACCTGATGAGAAAATAAAAAAGCATATCATTTCACAGTCTGTACCACAGACATCAACATACATATTATTCCTTTGCATAAATAGCTATATATACGAGTCCAATAAATTAGTCTGAGTGAAATCCTCACACCCCCACCCCATGTACAGGGCCAGCACACAGCCTGTTTAAGGACTGAGCCCATCTTACACCCTTTCAGGACAGAAATGATGATGGTCCTATGCCTAGGGGAAATTGCACTCAGTGCATAAATAATGGTAATTCATTTTATTTTATCCAGTCAGACTGCAGTATGCAAATTGAAGAAGGGGACAAAGTGGGTGAGGAAGAAGTAATATATCAATGGGAGTTGGGCATCTAACTCCTTTGTGCCTTTGAAAGTCCCCCTCAATATCTCCTCTGTCACAGTCTCATCAACTCCATAATCTCTACTGTCAGTAGTAGAAGAGGGAAGGAAAAGGGAATGGGAAGGAGGAGGATAATCCCAGAGTACTTGTGGGATAAAACAGTCACCTATGAAATTTTCACAGGTTAAAGTTAGTCTTTTAGGGTTTGTCTACACTACAAACCTAAGTCGACTTATATTAGGTTGACTTACATCTACCACAGTAATTAATGTGGTGGTGCATGTCCACACTACCCTCTTTGGGTTGGTGGTGCACGTCCTCACCAGGAGCATTGCTGCTGACCTAATAGGGGCAGTGTGGGGAGCTGAGAGCCTGGTCCCTGAGCTCCGCTGGCAGCTCCCTGCCTGGAGTCCGGCTGCCCCACAGGGTCCTAGCGGGCTATCCCCCTATTTGCTCCCCAGTCCTCGCTCGGAGTGGAACAAAGCTGTTTGAGGCTTTTCACCCCCACATTCCCCACAGGGAGCCGGGGGAAGCCGCCCGGGACTTCTCACCATTGGGGAGCAGGGTCCAGCTGCCTCGGCTTTTTGCCCCTCCCCACACTGGAAGCTGGCACGGGGCCGCTTGGGCTTCTCACCCTAACTCCAGCTGGGAGCAGGATTCAGCTGCCCAGTCTCCAGGACAGCAGGGCTCCTGTTGTGCAATTGACAAGAAAGCTGATGTAAGAGACGCAGTGTCTACACAGACACTGCACTGCACTAACTACACTGACATAAGCCTTATCCCTCTCGGGGAGGTGGAGTTATTATGTCGGCGTAGTAGGACACTTACATTGGCGGGACAAGGCTGTAGTATGTACACTGACATAATTAAGTTGACATAAGCTGCCTTATTTTGACCTAACTGTGTACCTTACAGGTCCTGAGCACCTCCTGCAAATTGCTAAGTGACCTCAACTGCCAGTGACTTTAAGCGATTTAAGGACAAGGCAATAGGAGTGAAGGCAATTCAGCAACTCACAGGAAATTCAATATCTTGAAGTATTAGGTCTGTAAAAAGAAAACATTGTAGTGACACATAATATCCATAGATACGATTGCTAATCCTAGTCTCTTTTTCCTTAGTTATAGTATGAGTATAAAATGAATCAGCCACTGAAAATGAGAGAGTCATCACAAATTGGCAAGTACACCTGAACTTATGAAGGGCATCATTCAACCCTGAATGTGCACCTGGACTCCTGTTAGCCATTAGTTCCATTGGTAGTGTAACCCTTCTGCCAGGTGGAGCCAGCAGCAACAAGGGCTGGGTTCAGTATCCAGTGGTTCCTTTTCAACAACACAACACAAAACCGGCTCGAGCCCCCACCCAGTGCCCTGGGACAATTACACACAACCTTCCTGGACACTTCTAAGAGGCAACCCTTCCCCTCTCGCAAGCACAGAGTCTGAGTGTAGCAGAAACTTTTAATAAAAGGAGGGAAGTAACTCAGCATTAATTTGGGAAAACACTGCAACTAGGGTTCATAAACACAAACCATGAGCAAAAGACCCACCCCCAAGTAAGTTGGGCAGTGTCCTTTTCGCCTCAGATTCTTAAGTCCAGCAACCCAAGTCCCTTCAACGTGCCCGTCCCTTCGCTGCACCCCACTCACAGTTGCTGTCCTTGGCCAGTGCAGTCCCAGAGTTCAGAGGTTCATCTGCAGAGTTCACCTCCCAGGCTGTGTGGAAGCGTGAGGGTGTGGTGTAAGGAGGCACATTACACGCTCCACTGCTGTCACCCGCTTGTTGCTTGCCGCGCCTCTCTGCGGGGCTCTGCTCTGGCCCTCTCCACCAGCCTCTTTGCTGGCCGCGCCTCTCTGCCAGCCACCCTGCTGGCCGCTTGCTACACATCTTCACCAGCCACCTTGCTGGCTACTTGACAAGATGTCTCTCAGTGATGTCAACTGTTAGTGGGGAAGGCTCACTGCTGGTGCACACTGGCCAGTCTCTTGCAATAGACACACTGTCCCAAAGTAGGTCTAATACTTAGACCTGGGTATCAGTGATTTCAGCTCTGCAGCATGTAACAAGACTCTCAATTGAATTTAAATTAACTCTTTTATTTACCAGGGAGAGAGGAAGGGTCAAACAGTGTCTAGGACCCTTAAACAAGGCCCATCCTCTCTCAACTCATTAGACTTTGGAACCGATGTCCCCTGCCTAGCAAGTGCCATTCAGTTGAGGGTGAGTCCCTCCATTGGGGTATGCCAGGTACAGTTCTGCTGCCCTCGGTTCACACAACAAGGATAACAATCCTTTATTACTCTTGCCCCAATAACAAGGAGACTGGGGATCCAACACCAACCACAAGTGATCATTTGGGCAAGCAATCCCATCATGCTGAACACCTAGGCAGGGTGGGTGTGTCCAGGCAAACGAGATCAGCTTCTGAAGTCTTTTTCCACAGCTCATTATCAGATGTCGGGGAAAGCTCATTCAGACTCTGCTTACACTAGGACAGGGATCGGCAACCTTTGGCACACGGCCCGCCAGGGTAAGCCCCCTGGCAGGCCACGCCCATTTGTTTACCTGATGCATCCGCGGGTTTGGCCGATCGCAGCTCCCACTGGCTGCGATTTGCCGCTCCAGGCCAATGGGGGCTGCGGGAAGCGAAGCGGGCTGAGGGATGTGCTGGCTGCCGCTTCCTGCAGCCCCCATTGGCCCGGAGCGGTGAACCGCAGCCAGTGGGAGCTGTGATCGGCTGAACATGCGGATGCAGCAGGTAAACAAACTGGCCCAGCCTGCCAGGGGGCTTACCCTGGCAGGCAGTGTGCCAAAGGTTGCCAATCCCTGCACTAGCAACCTAGCACGCATGTTTGACAGCAGAATTCAGACTTTCTCTCTAATTCACACATCAAGAACAATACAACATGAACAAATATGTGTCCCTGGCAGAACATTATTACTAAAAATGATTCGGTATGTGATGATAAAGATCATCTGCTTAGTACCTGAATCTCTAACCTGAGCCATTCTCCAAACTAACAATATGCCACAACATAAATGCAAAGTTAGAGTGGCTCTGCAAATAATGTATAGCTATTTTTGTTTGATCCCGAAGAAACAGAAATAGGCTTTTTAAATATAAAAAAGTGTTCTATTTAAAGAGATATTAAAAAAATAAAAATCTGGCTTGATTCCAATTAAGAATCCAGTTTTGCATAAGGGCCTGATCCTGTTCCCACTGGAGTCAAAACTCACACTGACTTCAATCGGAGGAGGGCTGACCCTAAAAGAATAAGTTAACTTCTTTACAAGGTCAGCTTTAGGTATATGCAAAACTATCCTAAAGGAAAAGGCATTAAGTATGACTAAAGATGGTGGTTTTTGATATAACTGGAATTTTTCATTTTTTCTTGAAAAGTGTAGATGTATTTAGTAAATATTGGTTTATATGGAAGAAAATGCATATTTCTGAATCTTTCCTTTCACATAGAAATCAGCTCTGCCTTCTCCTGGTTGGTTTCAAATGTTCAGTGCTCTATACCAAGTCTGTTTCTGGTCAGTTTCAAAAGGGTTTTATATTCCTCTTGGTCTAAGATCACTCATGGTTGAGTATGTGTCTCTACACAGTGATTTGATGCGCTATCAGCTCAACCATTTGGGCTGGCTGCTCCAATGACTTTTTTTTTTTTTTTTAAAAGTAGCAGCACCAAGTGTAGGACATACTGTTATCTAACACCAGCTGATGCTTTCATGGTGCCCTTCATATAAACACTCCAGAATGCTACACTTACTAAATGAGGGAAAATGGTTTACAAAATAGTAATGAAAAGCCAGATCAAATGTATGCAATTTAAGAGTAGAGTTTTGGTTAAAAAAGAGATGGTGAGAGCTGAACATCATTTGTGAAAACTAGTCTAGAATCTGGATTTGTAAAACAAAACAAAAACAAATACATTGCTTGCTCCAAAGGACTAAATATTATGGTTTGGAAGTTTTAAGACTAGTACTAGAACAATCTAATTCAATCCCAGAAGAGTAAAAATTAATTATGATTGGAACCTAGTGGCAAAGCCATATAAACCCTTGCAGACAATCAACACAACCTTAACATTGATTTGATAACTCACTGGAATTGGAGAAACTGATATTGCTGTTGGGAAAATGGGCATTTTCTGCAAGCAAATACATCTATATCAGTATTTCATTATTTGGATTTGATTTGAGTAAACTCATAATGGATGGGATAGATAAAACAGAATGGTGGTGATTCTGGTGAGTAGCAAACAGGGATGTATCCTTTTCAGCATGATGTTGACTTCAGTTGCCTTCAGCCTTGTCTCCTGAGTGCACCCAGTCATAGATGACCAAAGGAATGCTCACTAGGGAAAACAATATTCCCAATGCCATGAAAAGAGAAGCCTGAAAGAAAAAAGGAAAGGAGTCTTTCAACTAAGGTAACTTTTTTCCTTAGAGAGACTTACAAATTGATACTGGATTTCAAAATTACAAATGAAAACAAAGCTCTGAATTCCTTGTTAAGCACTGAGAATGAAAATTTCCTCTATCCTCAGTTAACAAACTTTGCCTTAAGTGCTCATTTCAGTGACTCTATCTGAAGAGGGCTGAATGGGTTCTCCTTTGGTACCCCTTGGCTCTGCTCTTTAACTAGCCAAAGGGCTCATTGCAGAATGAAGTAAAGCACATGCACTGGGCCATCCTATGAGGGTTTACTTGCACAGCATTTCAGCCATTGTCGTCTGGTGGAGCTAATGAATTAACCCACATGTAACCTAAGATTCTTGCATGCCAGTGCAGAGAAATAACTATGGAATCACGAGCCTGGCCCAAATTAAGTTCTTGATTATGGAGTAATCAAATAAAATTAATCCAAATCACTACTGTAATATGAATAAAAAACAAAGACATGATAACAGAAGAGCTGGTTCTGGTAGTGCACTGAGTGCACTCAGCAAATCACAGGGACTATTCAGAATCTTACATGACTCTATTCACAGCTGGGAAATTAGCAGGATCTTTGACCTTTACCAAGGAAGTTTTTTATTCTAATCTCAGTATGGGAAGGATTGTGACATCTTCTGGACTGCAAATCTCCCTTGACATCCAGTAAAAACTTATAAGACCCTGCTGAGATCAAGTTGTCACAGTCCTGTATGCTCACAAACGATGAAGAGTTGGCTCCTTTTGCAGGGGGCGCCCAAAATTTTACTGTGATCCCTTAAAACAATGTGAAGTGCTGCAAACATGACACACTGCAGGCTCTTTCAGGTAATGTTTTGCAGTGGAAAATAAGTTGTGGCTATGGAGGCAGTTCCTCTGCTGCCAAATTCAAAGGACTCAGAACCTTGCTAAGGATTACTATTGTTTAAACTGTGGTACTTCCGGATGGCCCCTAATTAGATTTGAGGCCCCAATCAGATCAAGGCCTCAGTGTGCTAGGTGCTGTACAAACACATAAGAAGGTAAGGGTCCCTGCACCAAAGGTCTTACAATCTAATTTAAGACAAAACACTGCACAGGAGTGTGACAGAGGGAGGGAGGACAAGGGTAACAGCAATAGGTTCACATATGTTCAGTCAACAGATTAGATCTGTTCTCAACCGAATACATTTTAATGAGTAACAGGCAAAGCACTAAATTGATCTACAGAAAAACATACCCAAATCCTCTGAGTAAATTTTTCCGTATCCCGATGTGTGATTTTTAAATATAGCGATGAAGGAATAATGAAAATCAACATATTGGCAGAAGTTACTCCTGTAACATTCAAATAAATATGTTAGTTATTGTGGAATTTCACATCTGCCAACAACAGCTATTTATTATTAATATAAAACCAGAATACTGTACCTACAACTCCAAAAATATCCTTCATTGAGGGGATAAAAATTACTAACAGGTTGATGAAAATCAGGAGGACAATAGTAACCACAATATGATGGCATAAGTCATATTTTGTTTTTTTAGCCAGCTCAAATAAAGAAGAACGCACCTGTAGGAAAATGAAGAGTTCTCTGTTAGGAGGAGCATACAACTTTCAAGCCCATATACTAATTTTTATTGATTCTGTGCATGACAATGAGATTTTTATAGATGCCCCAGTGATTCTGGAGGTTTCAAAATGTACTGCTCTTGGAATAAGCCTTTACATTTAATTCAAAATCTGAGAACTGGATTTCTATGTGTCTGTACGAGTGTATTTTCCCCCAGATTATATTTCTTGACAGAGGTGGGGGAGTATGTTAACATGTACTTTTTAGTTCAAAATTAACTGCTGTTCTGCCATGGTGAAAGCTCACGTAATCGGCTTTCTGTGTGGAATTAAACAGCGATGGAAAGGAATGGAATTCACCTACATCCAACTCTGCAACATAGCCACTCTGTAGCTGCCATTCCAGCCTACAAAGGAAGGTTGGAATAATGTCACCCACGTGGGTGGGGAGGTATTGAATCCACTGGATCTGCATAATTGAGGATTCAGTGACTCCTTCCCTAGCCTGCCCATAATGCCTCTTTCTGTGTTAGACTCTTCAAATGTTGTACAGAGCTCCTTGATCCCTGCAATACACAGGGGAAGTGAAGGCTGCCCTCATGGTCAGTCCATCCCACCCTCTCATGAAGAGCCCTACTACAACAGGGTTACTGAAAGGGATTTCTGTGGTTCCTCTGTTCTTGGACGAATTTCATCCTTGATTCTGCCCCTATTGAGATCAATAGGGTAAGATAAGGCCCTTATGTATTTTCATTTTAAATTGACTTAACACCTTCCCGTTCCAAGAGAGATTAATTTTTTTTAATTGTATGATAGTTTCTTATTCTCCTATCCAGAACTCCCAATGAAGCCAATGGGAGTTTAATATGTGGAAAGACTGACTGCAGGATCAAGTACTCTCTGTAGTCTGTCATTGATTCAGAAAACAGACCACACACACAAACCAGCCTTGCTTTGGGAAAGTGCACCTACTACAGATCTTAGCTGTTTCTAAATTGCAAGAAGCCTTATACTTACAGTGAAAAACAGCACTGGCACTGTGAGTATGACTGCAAAAATGACAGCCACACGCACTGTCAGGATGAGGATGTCATCTCTACTCTGGTAGTTGTGAAGCAGATCTGAGTGCACATTGTCTGCAGGGAAGACAATAATGTAAGTGTTCCAGCAAATAACCAATTAGTTTACAGAAACCGTCACTTAACAATGGCCTTCTTGAACAATAAGTGATGTATCAGCAAACAAAAGGGCAGGGAATGAAACATTTTTGAGTTAAAATATGTTTTAAACCATACTCTAGTGATTCCATGTTTCAAGATTATCTCTTTGGGGCCCTGTTTCAGGAAAGCATCCCTAGTCAAGAAAGCACAAGGTTAACTCTAAGCTAAAGTCCATTGCAGGAAGACTACAGGGAGGCATAGCATAGCTACTGGGGATTTTTTGGCAGCTTAAACTTATATAAAAATAACCACATGCACTGTCCCTGCTGAATTTATACTAAATTATTAGGTTGCACTAAATAAGTCCAAATAGCAAATAAAGTGCTAGGAGAAAACAGATCATCTTCTCTTGAAGAACAAACCCCTTTTTAGGTCAACCCTTTCCCCAGGAGGTTTCTCTGACCACACATACTGCTATCCAGCTACTTCTGGTGGCTACCCCCACACCTCCATTTTCCCTCTTGAACCTACCCTCCTCCCTCAGCAACACTCACACCCCCTGCACCTTAATGACCACCTCCTAGAGGAAGTGATCCATTCTAAATGCTGCTGATATGGGTCACTGGGAGCACCACATGCTGGTGTACTGACAATATTTTAACAAGGCCTCCCACAAAAGCATCTCCCTTAACCAGTGAGAAATGCTGTGGACCAGGTGTACACATGCTGGCAGACAGGAAGAACATAGAATTCATTTGTTTGTTTCCGCACCTTTAAAAAAACTCTCATAACTGTAACCAAAGGAAGCAAATGCACTGAGCACAAAAAAAAAGTATATTAATGTGCCCTTTTCTGGAAGTGTTCAGGCTTTGTTTCTGAAAGGTGTCCTGAGAAAACTGATAGCACAGAACAGTGGTCAGCCTGTGTAATCTGATGGGGGGAGGCAGGAGGGTAAAGACCTTGCAGGGGGCTCATTGGGGATATATAGTTTAAAAATACCTGCCATTTGGTGCAATCTGGTCTATTCCTGAAGGCAAAAATATTACTCGTCAGAAAGATTTGACCCTAAAGGATAAACCCTCTCTGGCAAGAATCACTTATCAATATACAGAAAAAGCCTGAAATCATCCCAAACTTCCCTTCAGTTTGCAGGTGCAATTTTAAAAGGGTGCTGGCATAGCCCCTTCTTGTACCTGGCTTATACCACATGAGGCGCATTCTGCCATTACAAGCCCAGGTTGCTGCCGCTGTACCTCTGGTCTCCCACTCAGCATGACAGCAAAATACCATACAGCCCAAGCAAGTGACCTTTATCAATACCTAATTTTTTGTAACTGTACTCCTGTAATAAGCAACAGAGGGTCCTGTGGCACCTTTAAGACTAACAGATGCAAGTGAGGTTCTTACCCACGAAAGCTTATGCTCCCAATACTTCTGTTAGTCTTAAAGGTGCCACAGGACCCTCTGTTGCCTTTTACAGATTCAGACTAACACGGCTACCCCTCTGATACTGTACTCCTGTAATGTACATATGGCAATAACTGCAACACCCTGAGCAAATAAACAAGTGGTGTTGGTTTAAAAAAAGAGAAGGCCAAAATAAAAATGCTATTCTGGTCTATGAAAGGATGAGGGAAAGGGCTACAGAAAAAAAAGTGCATTTAAAAAAGGCATGTTCCTGTCAGTCTCAAACGATGATCCATGGGGAAGGAGAAAAGTAATGCTGCCCTTCCACGCCCCAATTCTGCAACTGATAGGGTGCAGG